GTAGACCAGGTGGACGAGCTAAGCGAGCGTCCACCAGCCCTCTGTGAATCCCCAATGCCCGTCAGAAGAACTTCCGCCGACAAGCCGATATATGCAAATAACAAATGCAGTAGACAAGTAGAGACGTACCTGGAAGAAGCGGAGACAAGCAGGGTCGAGCGCCGACGAACGGGGGGGAACGACGACAGATCGAAAGGAGGGCAGAACGCGAGGGGACAAAAGGGGGAGAGCTGATCGGATCATGTTCCGCTTGGATGCCGAGCGGATTAAGCATGCGCCGATGCAAGAGACGGAAGTGGAGGAGGAGAGCCGTTCGGCCATGCCTGGGGTGAGCACGCGCCCTAAGAAGTGAACAGCTGAGGACCTTTTGCCATTTTTTTTATGCGCTCTGATATATATACCACCGAGCTCTTGTGTACTTAAATATCTAACACCTAAAGTTTGTATTTTATAGTTATGCAAGCCAAATTTTTTAATCATGCCAGAAGTAATAATATTTTAAATGTTAAAAACTCAAATACAATTTTTTCATGCAAAGACAAAATTGTATTTAAATAAAAATTAAAATGTAGAGCTTAGATATATAAATGTATGGAAATTTAGTAAATATGAATTTAAGAATGGTTGCTTGTCATGTTAAAAAAATATTCCTTAAATTTTAATTATCATAAATTATATAATATTTTATTTAATTATACACACTAAATTCAATTTAAAAATATATAAAATAATAATTAATGCGTGCTAGAAACTTTGCGACAATAAAGTAATGTATTATCATCTTAGCATACGAAGATTCAGCACACGCTTAAAAAAAAAAGTTATTAGTGACACGATAAATTTTTGCGTGAAAACTCATAAAAGGGAAAAAAAACCACATGGTCCGACCCAGCTTAAAAGTTTTACCATAAAATTATGATTACAATCATAACGACTTGTCCCACAAGCTGGAAATAGTTATAAGGTCTCCCAAGTTAAAATGTCGACTTACAGATGGATTTATTGCAAGAAACGGGTGAGGCCTGGCAAATGGTGGTAGATGACGGTCAGCAGTTATCGACTGCGGCATGAGTTATGCTGGACTTCAGTTATTCTCAAAGCTTTGAGAGTTCTCTTCAGGCTTCAAGTTCTCATCCCTCTCTCATGAGAGCGGTGGAGCTTACTTTATAAAGTTTAATCTGCAATTAACAAATCAATATGAACCACTTTAATTGGACAGTCTAGAGAGTTTCTTTTGATCAAAAGACGTTTAATAGACATTTGAGTTACTTAACGATGTTTGAATTGAGTGAAATTAGGCTTGTTATATCCGTCTCGCCGAGATGCTCGATCTAACAATAAGCTCGTCTGATTCAACATCCGTTTGACCATCTAAATATGTCCAAAAAACTTTCAAAAGTGGGTTTATAATTTAATCTAAGCTTTGATTTGACTTAGATTAAACCAAATTTGGTATTATTTGATTTGTCTCGTTGAGCCGACCAATTCGACTATAAGTTTTTTGAAATTGAACTTCTTAATGATCGACTGTCGAATAGGAACTCTTCACATCCTCTAGTGCACCACAACCAGTGGAAACTTAAATCAGTTTAATGATGGATTTCATTGATTGAATGGAATGATATATTTTGTAATTGTGAACCAATAATAATAATAATTTTGATGCCTCGTAATTTATAGTCCTCAAAGCATTCATTTTTGCTTAAAACATTAACTTTATAGCACATTTATAATAAGGCTATAAAAAATATCACAAAAACAAAAACAATGCCACCAGTATGCCACCAAAGTTCTCAAAAAATATCACATAAATACCACAAGAATCTCACTAGAATACCACAAAAATTAAACAAAAATATCACCAGAATACATTTAAGATATCACTAGAATACCACAACAATGCAACTAAATACCACTAAAATTATATTAGAATATCACCTGAATAATCTAAGCATGTAATAAGTATACAGTCATAATAAAATAAGAATATCACTACAATACACCAAATTACCATCCAAAATACCGCTAGAATACCATAAAAATATCACATGAGTACCATAATAATGTCAATAGAAAAATGTGAGAATACCGACATAATACCACCTGAATATCATAAAATGCCGCAAGATTACTACCAGCTAAATACCGCCTGAATATCAGTAGAATACCGCCACAAGAATATCACAAGAATGACAGTAGTCTGTTGGTGATAGTATTATAGTAATATTTTAGTGGTATTCGCGTAATGGTATTATTGTAGTATTCGAGTGGTTTTCTTGTGGTGGTATTTTTATTGTATTCAGTTGGTATTCTTATGGTGATATTTTGATGGTATTATTATGATATTTTAGTGATATTCTTGCGGTATTTTGTGCATATTTTGGTTTAATTTTGGTGGTATTCCGATTGTTTGTTGGTGGTGTTCTGGTAGTATTATTGTGGTGTTTTAGTGATATTTTTTTGATATTCTATGAGTATTTTTTTTTAGTTTTGGTGGTATTCAAGTGGTATGAGTGTGATATTTTGTTGGTATTCTTATTGTTAACTGATGGTATTCCTGTGGTATTATGGTGGTAATCTGACTATATTAATGTGGTCTTTTAGTTGTATTATAGTGGTATTTTGTGGTATTCTTATGACATTTTTGTGGAATATTAGTAATATACTTATTGTGGTATTATGGTGGATACAATGTATATCCAAGCCTATGCAACATAATGTATATCAAAGAGTGAATATATATATTTATAAAAAAGTTATAAACAATTATAAATATTATTTGTTATAAACAAGTCAAAAATTATATATGTCAGTGTTCTAACCTATCCATCCACATTCTAAAACATTCATGGAGTTTTGATGATGAACGATTTTCTAAAGCTAACACACAGAGTTTATAAATAAATTCGACTCTAAATTTTAGCATGTTAAGCTGCCACATTTACAAGCATCCAAATTTATTTTCTCAGTGTCCATCAAATTTTCATGTATTTATAGACAAACATTTCACAATCAATATTGATCTTCTGTGTTGGTAGTCCTCTATGTAAATTGATTGGTCATGTACCGGGATCAGTCTCAAATGCCGAGTGGGAATCTTCAACATCGACTTTGACCTTCAAAATGAATAGTTGTGTCAGGTAGTTCAAATTTAAAAACTAGATAGATGGAAAACATTTTGAATAATTTGTTAATGTATTTTCTTACAATATCATGACATAATTGTTTGTGAGCTTTTTTGGGAAGTGAGTCTTATATGAACCATTTTTACAACTTCTACTCCTCAACTAGTAAACTTCAGTGTCTGTCGTGGACTATTGGAATCAATACAATACGTGTTTTTTCAAAATTTCTTTCCTGAGGTGGTTTATGAAAATCACACCCTTAATTTTTTGTTGGAAACAAGCTTGCCAAATTTTGTTGGTTTATGCTATTTACATACAAGCGAAGGTGTAAATTATTTATGAATAATATAAACTATAATGATGTGTTATACTAACCCAATACGTTTTAGATATATATAGGTAAGATTCATATGATTTAGGATTTTTATTTCTTCTGTCAGCCAATAAAAATGTGAATGCATCAACATACTTGTTGCCCAACTGTTTATTCATTAACAGATCATCAATCAAAGAATTAGACATTGCACATGGATTTTCCTTAAAAATTAAATTGTCTCATATTTGCGGTAATGACAGAAAAAATAATTGATATACAAATATATTCATTGTTGCAAGTAATATGAATTTGTAAAGAAATACTTACTTATCAGTAAACATTTGACAACATTCATCAATTACCTCTGTCATATGCAATAATATCTCATCCTTTGTTGGGAAGTTCATAATTGTCTTTGCTTGTTGATGCTTCATCTTCAAAATACAAAAGGTACTTTAGAATAAAGTGTAATGCAATGGTTAGCATTAAAATTAATATAACTTGTTTGGGCAGTCATTAACAAATATTATGCAAATCGCCTCCCCCTGTTCCTCATCCATAAGAACAAAACCTTATTCCACTCCTCGAGACCCAAAAATTATGTTCCATTTGGTTCCTTTTTCTTTTCTTCCTCTACTGAAGTAGATTCAGGTGTCTTTGATGCTTCCCAGTATCCTCTTCTTCAACTTCAATATCTTATGGCTTGGCTATGGTGACCTCAGTTTTTCTATCCTTGATTGGAAATTCTATGCAAGAGAATTTCAATTTCCTCTTCTTCTGGCTTTGTCTTGATTTTACTCATTGGACCATGGCGCACAGTTATGATTTGAATAATGGTTTTCCTTTATGCTCTCTCATTATTTTATAACATTTTTTTCCAATTGGTTAATTGTATTCTTCAACTCATTTATTTGGTTATGTTGGCTTATAAGTAATGGAAAAGTCCATTAATTTCTATTTCTAATTGATGTTTAGCTGGAGTTGGAGCTGGAGATGGGGGTTGAAATGGAGTGTGAGGAGATGGTGCACAATTCTCTGTAGCAGATAGTGCAGGGGATGTGTATCAGGTAAAGATGTTAAAATTAGCTGTCAGAGGGCTAGATGTTGGGCTCCCTAACCCATGGCTTATTGGAGAAAAAAGTAATTATTTATCACTAGCTAAATCAATGAAGAATCAAAGAGCTATAGCAAATAAAACAACTACATTATCATGTTATGTAGGCAAATCTAATATCACCCAAATATTTTTTTATAGAAAGGGTTCATATCTCCGTTACTTGTTTTGATGTTAGTACAAAGAAAAAAAAATCATCATCTTCGTAATACATGGCCTTATTTTAGACCACCTAAGCATTTGAGACCTTGCTTTACGTGATGTTGGAGTGATGATGGATTTGCGCTCATAAAGTCAAAGCTGTTAAAAAGAAAAACTCATTAGGTCACTTGTCTTAAAAGAGTAAAAGGATTGTTGTTATGTCAGTCATAATAGCCGTTAACAAGAAAACAAAGGCATACATGTATCCAAGGGTCTGATTCTGCCTTGCTTTTCAGACAATGACATTAAATTGCTCAATCAGAAAACTAAAAGTAGTTGTTGGCCAGTTGAAGGAAGATAAGTTATTTACATTGTCCCCAAAATTGTAGAAGCCACTCAAGGCATGATAATTGCTTGAGGGAAAAAAATATATTTGCCAACACAAACTCTATATACAACTCTATAAAGGGCATTGAACATTATCCTCAAACAACTGCAAACAAGTCATTCTTTATTTGAATAAAATTTACGATTGATATGAAAAATTTATCCCAGTGCATGGTTTCTCCACAATTAGACATGCCAATGAGCAATGTCACCTTGTCCTAGTTGAAGCTTAAGGCTATGCCACATATTCTAATAACTTTATGATCAATGTCCTAACCTTTCAAATTTTGGAGGGCTAATGGATTTTTTTGTTGGTATGGTGGCATGTGGAAGAATTGAATGAGATGTATATCTTTCAAAATAGTTTTATTTTCTTCATTAAGCTAAACAAAAGTTGCATCACCAACAGACCCAACAATTGAGGGCCTTCATTTGCATGTCAATAATCTTGTGTTCATGACACTGCAAGAGTATTACACAGTCAAAGAATAGACATTAGTGGCAAAAATGTAACATAACAAAGGTTTTATTTAGTCAAATAAATTGAACAATATCATCATAATATCAACAAAAAAATAGGCATGATGCCACCATAATACCACCGAAATTAACACCAATATACCATAATAGTACTATCATTATACCACAATAATTTCATTAGAATACAACCAAAATATCACAAACAAACCATCAGAATAACATCAATAAAACAACGAAATACCACCAACCACAAAAAATAACATAAAAAATCACAAAAATATCATCATAATACGGCTAGAATATTGTCTAAATACAACAATAGAACTACCAAAACACCACCACAATACCACCCTAATACCACCAAAAATATGTGGTGATATTCAGTCGGTATTATGGTTTTGTAATATTTTAGTGGTATTCTTGTGACATTTTTTTGATATTCTAGTAATATTCTGATATATGTCCCGTGTGATGAATTTGATAATATTAACATGGTATTCTGGTGATATTCTATTGTTGTGGTGGTGATATTCTAGTGATGTTTTGATGATATTTTGGTGATTTATTAGTGTTTTTTTTGTTATTTTGTAGTGTTTATTTTGGTGGTATTCTGGTGATGATCTTGTGAATTTTAATTTGTAAAGTGATGTCAATTATTTTGATAATATGGTGGTGTTGTGATGCATTTTTTGTAATTATGTGTTAGTAAAAATTTGGTGGTATTGTTTCCTATGTGTTATTTGAGTTTTGTACGATTAGTGGTAATCTATTTGAATTATGATGGTATTTATGGTTCTCTTATGATGTTATTGTGGTTCTCTTATAGTGGAATTGATATTGTTGTGTGTTAATATTAAAGTTTTATTATGATGTTGAAATGATGACATTATGGTGATTCATGGTGGTATAGAGGGGTACTTGCAAATAATTTTTTACATTGAGTGTTCTTCGAATACTAAACAATGATATAAAATAGTATTTTGAATTGAGACAACTTTCTATTTTCCAAACACATTAAACATGTAAAACTCCCAAAATAAAATTCATTGCTTCAATATTATAAAGTCAACAATACATATGATTGTAATGAAATATTTGAAAATGTTACAATGAACAAATTAGACTGTTGAAATTCAGAATAATGCGAAATAATATGAATTACTTGATTGTTTCATTTATATGAACGAGGGTATAAATTACCCTTACAAGAATCCTATAGTAGGAAAAATAAAAAAGAAATGATATGAAATGAAAGATATATAACATGATACCTCTAATAATCAATTCATATTAATTATTAAGAGATATATAAAATAACATAAAATTGAAAAACCAATAATTCAAAATCCAAGAAAATATCTCTTTAACTATAAGGAAATAATTTATTCATCACATTTTTTTAGAGGAATACATTATTTCCTATTATAACTCATAATAGAGACAAATCAAAATTTTACAATGAACATATGAGTCTGGAAATAATATTACATCAAACGAAGTTTTACATTGAACAAATTACTACAAATGAGCAATTAAAATTATTTTTTAAAAAAATAGACCCTAAATCCTAAATAAATAACGACTATTTGTTTTCCTCCTTGATTTCTTCTATTTTTCCTTGTTGTTTTTCTTTTTCTTCATTGTATATATTACAACTAACGTAGAAATCTAAGCATTGTATATTGAACTACAAAATTTGCTTAGAAGATTTTGCAACCAAAACTAGCTAGAGACATATGTAAACCTTATTAGGCAATTTCTTGAGTCCCGATATCAAAGCGGCGATGTCAAAACACCAGTGTCAAAATGTTGGTGACAAAGATGCCAAAACCTTAAGCACATTCAGTGGCAAAGAAGCTTAGCTCAGCCATGCTTAAACTAGTTCGACTTTGAAAATCCTAAACACTTGGGGTCACTTAGAGCAAGAGAATCAGAAAACTCAGAAAACCATATGATAATTTTGAATCACGAATGAATGAATGGATAGAGCACAATTTTCGAGGTATTCAGACGATCGCAGGACGGGGTTGTACGCATTTTTAAGGTGACCAAAAAAGCTCCACCGCTGACTGTCCGGTCCTGAAGCGAAGAGGAGCAGGGGTGTAAACGAACCAAACACGAACGAACAAAGCTCGTCTTCGCGTTCAGTTTGTTTGAAATTACATGTGTTTGAAATATGTTTGTGTTTTAAATTGCTCGTGAAGTTACTATTTGTGTTTGATTTGATTTGTTTGAAATATGTTTGAAATGTTTGGAATGTTTGAATTGTTCAAATTGTTCGATTTATTTTAATTATTCGAATTATTTGAATTGTTTGAAATCTTATAAATTTGATTGTAATGTTTGAATTATTCAAATTGTTCAAAATCTTTCAAAAATTTAAACCTATATCAAAATAATGTTAAAACCTGTATGAATCTCAATATAAACGCAAAATAGTCGAAACATAACTTATAATAAAACCATAATATCATATTTCATGCATAAAAAAAATTAGATCTAGAAGCAATATGCGAGATTTTACTCCCAACAATTAGATTTCACTCAAAGAAACTAAATATATTTAAAAGAAATATAAAAAAATTAAGCTAAGAGACGAACCTGAAGATAAATAAGAAATTATATAATTTAATGTATTCTAAGAGTCGAACCTGAAGATAGGATAGGATTATTATTTATACCATTTAAATTTTTAAAATATAATCAATTTTTAGAGTATATAATTATTTTAAAAATATGATAAATTTTTTATATATAATTATTTTAAATTATTTTATATTACAAATAATAAACCGAAAAAAATATTAATTTTGCTCGTGCTTTTCGAACGAATCGAAGCCGAACACAACTACGACCTTTTGTGACAGCCCAGGAGAGAGCGGAATGAAGATCGTGTGGAAAAAGAAGGACGAAAGTGGAAAGAAGAGGCCTCTATCCAATTTGATATCGTCAAAACCTAATCTCCCGTTCGAATCCGCAGAGGAGGAAGCCCGACCTCTGAATCATGATTGTACAGATACTCCAGCTTCAGACCCCGATTCCCAGCAGCTCGCCGAGTCCTTTGAGTCCGAGGGCATCCAGCTTGCCGAGGTTGATTTGAATAGAAGCAATCTTGTTGCCTTTTTAATTACTGTTTCTATGAGAGCCTGTAGCATTTCCTCGTTTTTTTTTTAAATTTGATTGAAGAGTGGAAGATATCGTGAAGCTCTTACAAAGTGGGAGACCGCCATTGTTCTGATGCCCGAGAAGGCAAAGTTGCACGAGCAGAAGGCCCAAGTATTACTTGAGATAGGGGATACATGGAATGCTTTAAAGGCTGCAGCTCGTATGTAAATGCTTCCTTTGGTTAAGGGTGATTATTTTCATATTTTTTCTTATAAAAATAAAATGAATGGAGATGATGTTGGTTTTGATTATGCTGTTTCCTTGAGGTGGAAGTATGTAATTCAGCATCAGTGTTCACAAAGATCATGATTTTACCTAGTTGAAGGGAAAGATCATGAGATGAAAACCACTTAGAACCTTTCGCTACAGAAAATAGTGAGAAACACAATTCTTCTAGCTAAGGTAAGGCTTACAAGTGAGCTAAAAACATTGCAGATGGATGGAAGAAACCCAATTTAAATTAAAAACAAAGCAATATCTAACAATCAATCCGATCAATTTATATCTGTATATTCCGAAGGGATACTATTATAGATTCCAAAACATTCCATATCTAACATCACTGCATTTCAAGCTATTGGTAAATGTAGAATTCTTATTGAGGTTGTTGGATCTTGATTTTTCCATGAATCTATACCACCAAGGAAAAAGTCTAAATAATAAATACTCTGAATTAAGGAAGTAGGGAAATAAAAAAAATGTAAAAAGACAGGCTTTCTTAATATTAGGGGGAATCTCTTCAAATTACAATGGTCACCCCTATTTATATGGGAGTTAGTTTACGCATCGTAAATTAAGTACTCATTACAATTGGGTTTTGAGATATCTTCAATCTATCCCTCTTGTCATCTTTTGACATTGTGATTATTTTTATATCATTATTCCTCCGTGTAAATAACTGTTTTTTGTAAAATATGTTTCCTCAAGCGTAGCTTACTTGTGATGTGTCTGTTAGTCAACTCGGCCACATGGCAAAATGATCTTCTATGTGAATACGCCTCAAGGAGAGTCCTGCCAACTTGGCCGTGAGGTGATTATGCTTCATTGACGAGTTACAGGGATGCCTTAGTTTGTGGGGATGTCCATGAGCATATCACCATAGGCGAGTTGTTGCTCGTAACTACCTGGTTGGGTTGATCAATTGGTCATGTTATTATGGTTGATTGTCCATTCGACTTTGTGAACTATTTTCTTTGATAACATGGACCCGTTATGAACATAGTCCATGGCATGCTTTTTTGACAACTATGTATTGAACATTTGTATTTGAGAATACTATACGCTTACTGCAACTTACACAATCATGAAATAACTTCCACCTCAAAAATTACAAAGTAGCATAAAGTAGAACTTTTTGAATCTAGATATCCAACCTACTAAGTATTAATGTAACTAAATAACATAAGTTTATTTGCACTACAACCAAAAATTAGCTTGGAGGCCTTTCAAATACTTAAAAATAACCATTAAAATCACGTGTTTATCGGTACTGAAGCATAAAGCTATTTGGAAGCCTTTCAAATACCAGAAGATCCTGTTTTCAATTGCTCTATGCTCAAGCCTCATGCTAATCATGACGTACTGTTGACCTCATTTCTGGATGAGGTCTCTTTTTTGTCTCTCCTTAGAGCCTAGGGTCTAGCTTTAGGCTTCCCCTGTTCGACTCTCTTAGAAGACTAGTACGAAACCCACACCATTTAGAAAATTCGAGTCACCTCGTCACTCCTTCGAGTTTCGCATGGGCGGTCCGAAATCCTCGATGTTCTGTTGAGTTGATTAGGATCGACACATGAAACTCGAGTCGAGTTCCTACATTAATAAGAACAACCCATAGGGAACCCCTTTGTGACTCGAACGCTCGATAACGCCGCATTTTGCGCACGCATCGCATTCCACACGATTTTGACTTGATTTGACTCGTCCGCCGGCAAACTCTCCCGTACGACCCCGGATGACGAAACAGACCGCGCCGACACGTCCGTAACGTCGATTTTAGCTGGAAATGACACCCATATCATTATAGTTTCACGCGTGAGAGACTAGCACGGATATCGATGCACTTTTTTAGCTGTGCGCTGGCCCGGGCTCAACTCAGGTCTGACTCGGGTTTGATTCAGGCTGGACTCGGGCTGAACACGGGCTAGGCACCAGCTTACCTGAATTTGAAATGCAAATTTTAAAATTCAAATGAATTATTAAAATATTTGTCTTAATTAAAATTAATTCAGGTGTTAATGCTTTCCATTTAATCCTCCCTGCATTCGGAATTCATTAATTTCCCCGCCAATTGCTTTCAGTGTAACGGCTCTTGACCCCGCTCCAATTCTAAAAGGAATGCGAGTCATCTTCCTCCGCGGTCGGCTTGATTCGCCTCCCCTGAGCTCCTCTCTCTCGCTGGCAGTCTCCCTCCTCTGCCTCTGCCTCTGCGGAGCTCCTGTTCATCTTCCTTTTGTTCGCCAAACCTCTGCCCGCTCGTCTCTTCTTCCTCGGTATCGAACGAAACCCCCGCTCGATTCCTGTTTTCCCCCTTCCGTGCGAACCGAACTCGCGCGACGCTTCTTCCTTGCGCGACAGAAGCCTCCTCTGTTGTCCTGCTCCTCTGCGACTCGATCGCAGCTCTATATCACAATAGCAACC